GAATTTATATGCGTTTTATGAGAATAGTATTTTCAGATATGTAGATACGGGTTCATGACTATTTTTACTTAATGTCTACTTACCAAAATGAACCAGACTTACATTTACTATATTTGCTGAATTTTTAGGCTAAGCGGCCCTGTTTTGTGCTCGGCATTCCTCGACCATCATACTGCCATTGCGGGAACATTTAATCGCAATTTGACAGTTATTGACTCCCGCTTACCTCCTGGAACGCTAGCAAGCGTTACTTCCTTTCACAAAAATTCCTTGCTTTGTATTGAGGTAGCCAACGGACCAGGGGCTTCTTGGCGGGCCCGATATACCGAAGAGCCCTTACCTACCAGCGGATTGTGCTGGACTCAGATTTCAATGACCACGGGATCGAGTGGTTTCGAGAACTGGACTCTGGCTGGTTCCGGCGACACAGCTTCTATCGAGCTGGCCTCCTTATCCTCAGTCTCTATGTCCTCGCTCCACATGACCGACGAGGATGATGCTGATAATGAAGAATATCATCGTGTTTGTGCTCAGGTAAATGAGAAACAGGTCAATGTTCCCCTTTCTGGCAAGGGTTCTGGTGAAGAAGTTCTTGCACCGACGACAGAAAAGGGTGATACACTCCAGGACATTGAAAAGTTTCCAGCAAATTCGATAGAGTCCTCCCAGCCTTCAGCAAATAAAATCGCCAATACAATGGGAGCCTTAGCGTCTTCAAGCTCTAAGTCAAGCGTATGCTATCAATCAAATAAATTCATCCTGCCCTATGAATCTCTCCAGATGGGTATTTCATTTTTCACTGGCAGTAGTGACCAGCAACTAGCCGCCTGGGATTTTCGTCAGATGGCACAGCCCGTATTTAACCAGAAGGTATCTCTGTAAAGGTAGCATTTCACCTGTCTCTTCATCTTTATCTTTTTTTCTCATACATCTATGAATACTCCCGGCTTTTGTTGCGTATTTCTTGGGAACTAGTAAATCAGCTGAAAAGAGGCCAAAATAGGTTTCATTTATTAGATAAATATCTCTTTCACTGTCATGAATTTATTTTTGTGTGAAAATGCTGGAGAGAGCTTCAGAGGTCGATATCACCAGAAGACAACGATCATACTGGTGTAATAGGTGAGATATCCTTCTTCGACCTAAAATGAAATTCATCATAATATTTTGATCTCATGAACTTTATCGAAACCAATTTACACTTATACAAATATTTGCTCCACTGCCTACGTTTTGAGAAATATCAATCTTCCGAGACATCTGTACTGGTATTGGGACTAACCAGCCAGGGTATATTTATATTATTAGTGTACAAATCTACACTGCTGTAGTTCAGAAATATCTACGTTCTAGCCATATTCCCTATAGGATAGAACTATCTGTTTGGCCTTCTGTTCCTAAAATTGTGAAGAGCTATTCCCTTTAATGCATTTTCATATCTTCTGAAATTTTATTGATTAATATTATCGTGTAAATAGATTTTTATTCCATTATTTAACATGTTTTTTTTATTGTATTCACTTCATTTTTTATTTTAGCTTCATAATTATGCGAGACATATGTCACTCATAGATGGACAGGAGTTGTGGATCGCTGAACCTCAAGATCGAATTAGCATTTACGATGTTCGTAAAGGACGAATGAGTCAGGAAACGGGGATAAACTGTTCATTTGTAAGTGATAGATTCCCTTCGTGCATTTATTTGCTTTGTGATGAACCTTATATTTAAAACAAATTCGATAGTATCTGTTAGGTCTCATCAGTAGCCCCAGAGTAATTTCACTTTTAAATGCATGGGTTGGAAGGCAGATTTGCTATCCTCTAGGCGAAATGGCCAGAACTCTGTGAAGTTGTTTGACTGTCCTGATCAAGTGATTTCTAAAAACAGGCA